AGGCCCACGCGCTGCGAGCCCTCGGGGATGAACTTGCTGCAGGGACGAGCAGGGTCTGAGCATGGCACCCGGGATGGCAACAGGAGCCGAAACACCCCTACCCCAACCCACCTGAAGTGGCCCATGTGGTAGAACATGGGCTGCTTGTAGAAGACGTCCTTGCTGCTGTCCACGATGACCGGGCTGTCCACGTAGTTCTTGCTCCAGTTGGGGCCCCCCTCCACAGTCGGTCCAACCCGTCACGAAGTTGTTGAGGTTCTGCGGGGCAGGGGATGGTGCTGAGCCATGGGTGGGCACAGGGGGCGGCCGGCAATTTTGGGAGCTCTGCCGGGCCCTACCGTGAGGATGCTGTGGCTGTACTTGCTCCCACGGTCCCAGCCGCCCAGCACCACCCTGGGCTCCCAGAAGTAGGAGCCAGTGGAGGCTTCGGTGGAGAGAAGGAAATAATCCGGGAAGAGGTGGTGGGTGATGGACAACGTCAGGTCGATGGGCGCCAGGAAGTCCAGGTACCAGTGGATGCCAATGCCGCTGATGTAGCGGGAGGCCACGGGGTCTTTGAGAACCTGGCAGGAGAAAGGGGTCACCAGGACCCAGGACTGGGAGTGCTGCAATGGGGCCAAGAGCCACACTGGACACTCACCACCTGCGCCCAGTAGGGCAGCATCACCCTCTGGTCATCCAGGATGATGAGCTGGACGTGGCGGTGGGAGCTGTTGGCCAGCGCGGGCCCCAGGTCCTGAGCGATGAAGTCGCGCTGGTGCTCGGGGGAGAAGCCCAGGCACTGGAAGGGGTAGAAGATGATTTCCCCGGCTGTGGGCTCGTTCCCCGCCGTCACTGCCCAGAAGGTCAGGTTGTGCTTGGCGTATTCGTCCAGGAACCTGCACGTGGGCAGAGGGTGAGCAGCCCAATTCTGGCACAACCAGCCCTGCCCCCCAGCACCGCGACCCCAGTGCTCCCCACAGCCCCTCACCGGATGAAGTACTTGGCCCAGGCGCGGTGGTATTTGTCCCCAGGGCTGCCCTTCAGTGTCCCCCTCCCCGTCATGGCGCCGTTGGTCTTCATCCAGACTGGGGAGGTCCAGGGGCTGGCGTAGAGCGACAGCGGCCGCGCGGCCACCGCCTGGGCTGCTCGGAGGATGGGGATCTGGGGAGGAGAGGGAGGGGAGGGCAGCGAGCTCGGCAGGGCCACCGCAGGACAGGTCCTCTCCATCCCCACTCAGGGGAAGGTGCTTCCCTTCCCTTCCCTTCCCCATCCCATCCCACCCAGGCTGACCTTCATCTTGGTGTCTTCCTCCGTCAGGTTGAAGTGCTTCATCTCAAAGTCATCCTCAGCATCAGCGTAGGTGTACAGGCGGACGGAGAAGTCGGTGCTGGCCATGGGGACACGCACGAGGTTGTACTCGATGCCTGGGGATGGGGCAGGCAGTGATGGGCATCCCCGGGGTGGATTCAAGGGGTGCAGCCCCCAGCAAACCCTATAACCCC